TCAGCAGGTGCTGTTTGTATTAAAACCAAAAAAAAAAAAACCCACAGCTCCAGTCCATGGACACTACTGTAGGGCAGGACACAAACTGTCCAACAAACATTGCAATGGTCTTAGTATTTTTTTTTTCTAAGGAGGAAAAAAAAAAAAAAGTGTATTTATTGGAAAGTGAGATTATATTGTGCTTATGAAGAGAAGCAAAGAATCACACTTCAGAACTTTCCCAGAAAAGGAAAATTTAAGAAAGAAGCATGGGGCAGGCTCTTTAATAATAACAACAACAATAATAACAAAATCCTTTTGAAGCTCCTTGTCTAAAAAGACAACATCTCTTCTACAGTGCATTAACATTGTAATTAGCTGACTTTATCAATAAAAATAAGAATTTATGGCTACGGCAGTATTTGTTCCGATACAATATAATGTAAAGTTCTTAACTACAAAGCTTGCTGCATGGCCATTTACTCTTTTAATTGAGGTCCCTGTTCTCTTAGGTCCTGCCTACCTGACAGTTAAATCCAAGTTATTGAGAGCTAAGTGGAAACATCAACCATGGCTAGCATTGCCTGAAATACAGAAAACTGAAAAATATTATCTTCATCAGAAAAAAAGGAAAAAAATTCTCACTCAAATATATTTTAAATTAGTTGTAACTAGCTCTCTATAATAATGTTTTTAATTAAACTATTGCTCTAAATTTCAAATCTCCTCCAACCTCTTCTTCTCATGCCCCTCTCTATGAAAAAAACACAAACATCTACGCTAAAGGTTTATAAAAATATTTGGGCGTAATCTGATCTGTTACTAAATCAGCTCTGTTTCTGCCACACCTTCTGAAATGGCTTTCTTCTCCCTTCTCATTGGTGTCTTTGGGCATTGGATCTGTTGCACCACCCTACTCCTACTGAAATCAGGGGCAAGAACTGCATGCATAGACATGCTTTCAACACCGCTTGGGTTAGATTTCTAAACATTAAAGACCCAGCAGAAAGATTCAGGAATATCCTGAATTGAAGGTGGTATACAGGCCTTCACAGTGCCACAGAGATCACTTCCAATGTTGAAGGCACACCTGACCAGTCGCGTATCTTTTTATAATCCATTATATGGGTGCACATGTCATATATAGATACATGCAACAGGGCACTCTTAGTAGGTTTTGCCATCGCAGCAGTAGCACAGGAAAAGGGAGAAGCTACAGCTCTAAGATGGCTAGAGCATGCCCCACAGTTTGAGTTTTAGCATTTTCCTGATCCTTTTTTTTTTGTTTTGTTTAAACACAGATGAAAACAGAACTGGGTAAAGCAACAAGTTTACTCAAACCAGATGTTTTCTTTAGAACCTCAGTCACAAAAGGTCAGACCTTGCTTGCTCTTCTGAATGTCAGAAAGGCAGGTAGATGTGGGGAGGTCACAGGGCCCAGACAGTTCTTCCTTAATTTTACAAACCTGGTCACTCTCTGGGGCAAGGCTGCCTTCCATACCACAAAGACAGCACAGGGTACTGCTCCCGACTTACCTCTCTAAAGTGACTGGAGCTAAGTGGGGAAGGTAGGCTTTCCACAGAACCATTTTGAGAGGACTGCTGACTGCAGAGAGCTCCCAAGCTCTCATTAACTACTGCATTTACACAGCTGAAAGCAGTGGATTGAGAGATTCAAAAAACCAAGGACCTATAAAAAAGAATCACAAAACTTAAGTGCTACTAGAAGAAAATGGGAGGTCCCATAGCTCAGTTTTAGAACACAAGTGCTTATTGCATCAGTGTATTAAAGTCAGCTGCCTAACTTTCTTTGCCTAAAGCAAAAGCAGAGGAAAGTATACCAGATGTCTAACAGCCATCTCCTGTAGACAAAAAGAGAAACACCTTTGGGGTGTTTTCTTTCAGGTGTTCATTTCAACTTTCCTGTAATCTTGTTTTTCATGTACAGTCTTTAAATGAAAGCCCTTTTAACTCACATTACAAATCATGGAAACTAAATGTCCTGTGCTGAGGAGGAGGAGGAGACAGTTAACTTACAAAAGAATGCAACACCTGATCCAAATTGCCTTTTTTTAATCCCCTCTCCAGAATTCAAAGTTAAGTCGTGCAAGTTTCAAACCCAGCCTAAGCATTCAGTGGGAGTTGCATTAAAAAGACAACTCCAAACAAGTTGCGCACTTATAAGGGAGGTTGGGATGGGCTCTACGCCAAAACTACACATTCAAATATTCATAGAATTTGAAGAAGGCTCAGTATTATTCTACATTCTGATGACAATTCCTACCTTCATTACAAACTGGCTCAAAATTACCAGAAACTTCTAGCAATGACTTAAAATCCTGATTTTGCAACCTACCTCTCCCTATGGAAAACCAAAAGCAAAGTGTGAAGGAACACCAAGCCAAAAAATTCTTTCAACAGCGGCATATAGTTATCTTAAAGACTTTAAGCATTTAGGAGCTACAATACTCCAATTAAAACTTCATTTTGCAAAACACAAATCAAATCCGAAGCACTGGATCTGTCCTTGCAGCATCACTCTGAGGATAGACTGACTGAGATTAAGGTCCTATTTCTACAGCCCTTAGTGGGAAGATTCCATATGATAAAGAAAAACTTTTTTCTTATACATATTTATGGAATTTGATTCAGTTCCAAGATGGCTGTTTTCATCCACAGGCTGCCTTTCAAGCACCATGGCTGGGTTGCTACATTCACAAGTAGTTGAAATTAAACAAAATAAATATTGCTTTAATTGGCTTGTTATAGACAAGAGAAGCATGATCACATCTCTCTTTTTGGAAGTTTTTGTGAACTATTTCCTCAAACCTGGAGGGAGGAACATAACATTCTCAGCAGTAATTAAGTTCAAATGTTTGTGAATGTGGGCTCTAAATCATAGCTTAGAAAGAGCTCTCTGCTCAATGTATTCATTAAAGACTATGTGCCAAACTAATGCTGCTCTCCAAAAATCTCCTCATACATTTCCTTATTGTCATTTGAGGAGAAAAATAGTAAGCTTTCCAACATGGAGTAGGTCAACAACCGTACAGTGGAAATACTTAATTAAGTCAGACTCACATGATGTCTTTGAAATGTGCAACTCTATAGAATAGCTCCCTCTTGCTAACTAGGGCTGCTCTCAAGCTAATAGTCATTTAGTCACTTGCTCTAACAAATCTCATGTACACACTAAATTCGACTTGCCATGGATAGTACAGCTGCACAGAATTGCATGGTTATAGTTCTGGGTTACTTTATACACTTTTTTATCACTAAGTTGATGCAAATCCTTACCCATTTTCAGACCCATTTTTAGTTAACATTCCTGCTGCTGCAGAGGGGATATACAGCTCTCCTCCATTAATAAAAGACACCTGCCTGGCCAATCCAACAGAATCTCTCTGAGACCTCCAACCTGAAGACAACAGAAAGATTTCTACATGTTAGATAGGACCAACTCTACAACGCAAGTAAACTCTTGAATCAACAGTTACGTATCTGATATCTTTGTGCAATTTAAGACTTTGGCAATTAAGCATGATAGCATCTGTGAAATTTATAGAGGGAAAAATCATTAAGCAGGACAAGAGTTGAAAGCAAGAACTAAGTGCACTTTATAAAATCTGCAGATCATTCATTTCCATATCTCATTTCTCTTAATGCAGATATTTCAGGCAGGAAGGTCAAACATATGGTTTTTAAGACATTAATCTTTAGTTGGATGCTATGTCATTAGAGGTATGAGGCCGATTCCTATGTTCTGACTTAATGCAAGGCAAAGCTCTCTGGAAAAGCTCATGTAAAAAGCCACTGCTCATGTAAACGCAAAGGAATCTAAAGCTAACAGTACTTTCGCCCTTCTTGGAAATACCTGCTAAAGTTGGTAGCTATGATGGAAGACAACAATGAACTCAGGCAGGTATATATTGCAAAGCTGTATGTAATGGGAAAAAAAAAAAGAAAATGTCTTACTGCAACTACATCTTTAACAGTTTGAGCATTTTTTTTTTCTGCCTTGATGTTTCATTTTCCAAACTAGGATACCATAAACCAATGAAAAACATGTTTCTGGAATTTACAGTAAAATATGTTTTCTTATTAACTCTGTACAGATGCAAACAACTAGGATTCCTTTTGCTGAAATGGCCTACTATACAAGCACAATGAGATTAGCTGTAAAATTTTTCAACCACAACAGTTGTAAGTTAATATATGCTAGAAGCTAATACTCCCATAAAAAAGTAAGAAATTAGAATAGTAATTTTAGATTCATAGTTTATAACTTGACAGTCATTGGCCACATATGGAAACAGGCTGCCCCCTCTTGATGGATCAATGACAGGAGGTATGTTAATTAATATAGCAATGAGCCATCAATACAGTATGCATAAGTAAGCTGTTACACACAGAGCCTGGAAACAGGATGGCAGAGGGGAACAAAGGCAGGACTGTCTTCAGTCCACAGAGTAATGCATCACTAACTGATTACTATACACTGTGGTATGAGGCTTTGACACTGACCTCATTGCTTATCTTTTTAAGAATTCTTTTGACAGTATCTTTCAACTATGAAAGACACATTTTTGAAGGGACGAAATTATAAACCAACATCTTTTCCACTGTTCTGAGAGAAGAGGCTTTAGGAACGTACCAAGAATCTCTTATCTGCATCCCTATTCCCTCCCCCCCCTTTTAAAATTCTCTGAATTATTTGGAACCTATTTTTCATCTCACTCAAAATACAACCCAGCAGACACCTCAACAGTGATTCCAAGATCACTATGCCTGGCACTCTGCAGAACGATTTCTCTCTCTACAGAATAAATGCAAGACCTTACCAGTCCAACAGGGTGGAGCAACACCAAATGATACTACCACCCGCACCCTCTTGCTCAGTGCTCCAGATGCTGAAGGGCATCACTGTAGCTGCACATTGCTTTCAGATAGTGGCCTCAGTGCAAGCTAAGCCTTCACACATAGCCTTTCTAAACACAAAAAAAGACCCAATGATGCATTCATACTGTATAACACACTTTTGTTTTATTTAAGCTCTTTCAAAGTTAGGCCACGTAAGTTGAACGTAAAATCCACTATCTGCTAGAAAGGCATTCCAGATTTCCATTTCCCCAGACACTGGGAGACAGGCACACAACAGTCTCACACTGAAAATGTGAGGAGAACTATTGGCTCAAGTCAGTGCAATCTATTCTGCTCTCAGTCACATCAGATAAAATCAGAAAGAACAGACTCCACAGGAGTCAGTACAGAGTTACACTGATGTAAAAACAGGAATGAGGACAAAATTAAGACCATTCAAACAAATTACACTAGAGATCTGATTGACAGATCAACATACCTTTAACTCAAATTATCTGATTCATTATACATTCTCAAGTGAAAGTTTGATGAAGTTGTTTCAGAGGGACCCTTTTACTCAGGTAGGGATAATGTCAATCTGAAATGCCAAAATACAGTAAACCAGACAATATGGCTCATTATTTATGAGGTTATTAGTAATGTCTTAAATCCTGAAAAGAAAACTTACTGGAGCATTTGTACATTGGAAGATGCAGCAAAAACATTAATCAACGCTCATATCACTTCTGCAAGGTGAAGAACAGTTTTGTCTCTGCTTTGCTAACCAAGGAATTCATACAGGAAGTTGCAGTGACTCAGGACAGTCAACCAAAGCGATGAAAGACATATGGTTAGAGTCCAGGACTGCCTTCCACAATATAGCACGTCATCCAGACTACTGAGTCCAGGGTCCAAGACTCTTCTTGTTTGCATCAGTTACAAATTTTGTTTCTTTGAGCAGATTTTGAACTTCTAATTTACACGACTAGGAAGAGGGAATACAACTGTCCATATCTAGAGCTTGAATGTTTTCCTCATCCACCTCTGACATCCAGCCCCAAAATAGTCTCAATTGCTCTGCAAGTAGGGAAAAATATCCCTTCTCTATGTTAATAAAACAGTAACGTTCTCTCACTATGAGTAATAACACTCCTCTGAGCCAGCCTCATGCTAGAGGGAATCTTCATCTGTATCAATATCACTGCTTGGTTTGTTCAATCTCTCAAATTCTTCTCCATCCTACAGGCAGGAATCAGAAACAAAAGAGAACAATGTCAGCAAAAGTTATCTTGTTATTACCATTAAAAAAAAAAAAAAAAGTAAAGTTTATTTTGAAGGCATCACTTATATAAAATCAAGACCCTGTAATTTAAATCTCTTACCAGTGTGTTATAATCTTGCTCTAGGATATACATACTCATAAAAAAACCTATTGCCTGTATCTTTAACACTTTTTAGTGACTCACTCCCTAAAACAGTTTGTAGCCCATTCCATCATCTAGAAGCCTGCTCACATAGTGCTATTTGTTTTTACCACAGCTGCTCAGTTGTGCTAAAATAGATAATGCCTGGTATACCAAAAATATACACCTTTGTGATATTTACCGCTTGTTAAACTACAACCTAAAAAGGCACCATTCTGAAAAACATATCTTCCAAGTTTAACGTTTCTTACAATTAAATGGAGACAGCACTCTCTGCTGTTTGCAACGTGTATTACAGAACACATCCGTACACGCAGAAGTACGCAGACATTAGCCCTTCCACCTTTGACTGACTGTTCAGCTAACTTAAGCGACATACCTAAGAGCAAGCCCTCCCTGCCATGTTCTAGTTAACTAGATTACTATTCAAATTAGGACAAAAAACAGTAACGGGCCTGGAGGATTCCTAATAAAAAAACGTGTTAAAACTCTATATATAAACATTACACTTTTGTCTTCAGGTATCTTTGCCTGTTAAAGTAGAAAGAATGCTAACATCAAATATATTAACTTCTTCATGATGTGGGCTCAGCTACACAGATTTATCAGTTCTACTTAAGCACAATTATTTCCTATGCGTCAATTCCAATTTCTGGATACCCAGGGCCAGTAAAATATTTTGGTTATAAAGGCTTCAAGAAAGGATTTGTACAAAGCCAGAACTGCTCACAGGACTGTCTATAGTCACAGCAGGAAAGCAATGCTTACCTAAGCTTCATGAATTGAAAAACTGGAATATGCAGAGCAACACCAAATCATTTTAAAAGATTTTAAAAAATACTAAGGAGTTTTGGTGTTTGAGTTGAGAGATGAGTCCGGTCACATGTAAAATTAATCTTCTAAACATTCCATAGCATGAATGGAGGTGAAACAAAAGAGAAACCAAAGGAGACAAGTACTGAAAAAGCCTCACCCCACTTGACCTCTCCCATGCATCTCCTTTGGCGAGTTTGCCCCTTTCCCGCAGAGTGGCATATTCCAGTCCTCTTGGTTTGCTGGCATTATAGATGAATATGGAGAGAAGCACTACAGGAGCTTCCAAAAAGAACTCTAGAGAAGGCCTGAAGTCAAAGATGACGAAAGAGACAGTGGTGATGATGACAGTGGTGATCTGAGCAGTCATAACATGGAACATATTGTCTCGGAACTTCAAGATGAAGGCTACAGACAGCCCCAGGAAAGCTGTGACAAATATGAGAGCCACTGAGAAGATGTTGTGCCCATAAAAGAAGCCACAATTCCCTATCTGTCTCCGGTCCTTAGCCCGCAGTCCCAGCATAAGTCCATTGAACAGCACCCCAAAGGCATAGAGTTTGCTGTTCTGCATGAAGATGCTTTCAGCAAGCTGATCTCCATCTTTCAAGATCTTTTCATTGTAGATGTTAGCCAGAGCAGAAATGAAACACTGCACTAGAATAAGCAGATGGCCCAGGCTGAGGCGGAGAGGTTTCAATGCTCCTGCCATGGTACTGGTGACATTCCACTGGAAGCTGGGAAGGAAACTTGGTGCTACGCAATTGCCCTTTTCCAGGCATGCTTCCTCAGGTCCAGCATAGAGAAGGCAGTGGTTAGATGGGCTGAAAAACATACTGTGATGGAATCCATGTGCAGCCAAGCTTTGCTGATGGCCTCCAGTGCCTAAAGTCAGGGCAACGATGGACAGGAATAAAATCACCAGAGATGCCCATTGTACCCAAGAGAGTCTTCGCCTAGGAGTAGACAAAAAAAGCCACCAATTTTAGAAAGACAGTGGCACAAATTAAATGACAGAAGAACAGGCTCTATCAAACACATAAAAGACACCATGCCACAGATGAGTAGACAGAGACAGGCATAAAGAAAAATCCTGGCTTTTCAGAATTGACAATAAAATGCCAAAATGCAGCATGCTTTTCTATGGCTAAGGGGGCACAGCCTGGCAATCACAGAAATACAAAACGGATTATTCCAGAGAGATAATTTAAGAAAAGTCTTTCAAGATCATGCTAGTTCTAGATACTGACTGCCTGACAACTTAAAAGCAACTGCTGTCTCCATGGGAACACAGGTGTGATGGATAAAAAGAAATGACAGACATTCAAGTAATTACCCTCTTTCTTTGGTAAACTTCCACTACATTTCACTTTTCCCCTATGACTTTGTACCCTTTTCTAATCATATAAATCTATGAAAGTAATTCGTAAGACTGTTAGAACTATTTATGCTATTTTTTCACTCAAGAAAAGCCTGTTTATCTTGGGGAGCACATAAGACAGAGTCTGGCTTTTGACACATGAATAATGAAGAGATGGCATATAACTACTTTTTAAAGCATACTATGCAGTTGACCAGAAATACATGAGGGCTGGCACAATATTACCAAAGACACCTCTATCTTTCACCCTTACATATATAATTCCCTCTTATTAGATTATATTTACATTCAATTCAGAATTACAAGAGACTGGAAAGTACTGCTAATCATGAAATATGAGACAATGTACAAATGAAAGTACCCAAACCTTAATTCTGACCATCCAACAACTATATAATCATGATTTCAGTTGTTTTCTATTACAGTTGACTAAATGTGTAGAGATATGTAGGGACTCCTAATAAGCTATTACTTCCTACTTCTTCAGATGTGGAAAACAAAGCCAACTCTCCAAGCTGGTATAGCCACAAGAAATGAGAATTACTGTTCCCACCAGACAAAGAGAAAGAATGTACCTTAACTTCTTCATCAAGGCTAGGAAGTTACAATATTTCATTAGTTTTAGTAAACAGTACTTACTTTAGCACTATCCTGAAGAGAAGAGCTGTTGTTATAATGACAAAATTTGAGAAGAGCACAGCCATTGCCTAGAAAGAGAAGGAGGGGGAACAAAGTTATACTCCAGACATAGTGTGGACATCAAAAGTCCACTGACGTCAACTGTTCACCTTTTTCCAAGGTTCCAGAGTGAAAAGCATCATCCTGGTACTGAACTTTCTTCCTCACCCAAGTAGCAGAATAACACGCCCCTAAAATGACATTTAAGTTGCATTTCAAAACCTCAAGCAAACCACAGAGCCTAAGCTCCACTATCGCGGGGAAAGCTGTACTGAAACAAAGATGTGAGGAAACCAATCCAGCGGAAAACTTATGTAACAAAAAAAATGGTTTGGTTTTCTGTCATATCAGTTCCCCAGACAGGTTGACCAGTCAACTGCAAAAACATCTGTATCAGCACAAAATAGGAAGCCACTCCAAAATGAAAATAAGAAAAGAATAGGGGAAGGTGAGGCTGCTTCTGTCTGCATTGCCAGCTTGCAGTGTTGATGAAATCCCAGACTTGGACAAGGCACTTGTAGAAAATCAACTTCTTGTAGAAAATCAACTTCTTGTATGTCAAGTGCATTTGCTGCATCATTTATCAAAGGTAAGGAGGTGATTGACTTAAATTTTCAGGACTGCAACTGTACTAAAAAAATCACTTATTTCAAAGTAAAACTGAAGACAGCTCTAAAGTTCCCATCTAATTTGAGAATAGCTGTATAATAATGACAGTGCCCTAGTCCATGGCCATGACCCCAAGCTGCTAACTCCTTGTGGCAAGGATTGTCTTTTTGGTTTCTGTATTAGACACTATACTGGAACACTGGATCAAGAGGCTCTTTTAGGCCCTGCAGTTACCATTAAAGACCAGAATCTACCAGCACCAGTGGGGAAAAAAAAGTTCTTCTTGGGGTTTGGGGGTGTTTCCCAAATTGTGTGTTATTCAGGACTGCCCTGCATAGTCAGTACACATACAAAAATCTAGGCATCTGAACTCTTTCCTCCAATTCAGCCTTAGAGTGAGATCACCTTTTTAGACAATTTTACACAAAAACATACATGGATTCAGAAGTACAAAACACAGATTTTATCTTGAACTTTCTCATCTGCATTTCCACATTCCCAATTCTGCAATAAACAGAGCCTTTTTCATTTACCAGAGGAAAAGCATAGGCACTTTTCCTATCACCCTAGTTCCACTCTATTCCAACATACTATCTGCTGAACAATTAATCTCATGAAACAGCATGACACAGGGTCTCAAATAAGCTGAAAACTGACACGAGACATCTACCTAAGACACCACAGATTAATTTTTTGCTTTGCAAAACTACAACTCAGTAAATATTCGTGCTATGGAAGGAGAAAAAATATTGAATAAACAAGTGAATCTAGCAGAAACCACACAGGAAAAAAGAGGCTTGATGCCAAAATTTGTGAGTGTTCCATGTATACTCTGGTTTTGCTTTGCAGTCAAAGCCCCCCCATCCAACATCTCTGGTAAAATAATATGATCAAAATCTATAGCAGGATAGTTACAATGTATTAATTTTGAGTTGGTTTATTCTCTGAGGCCTCAAGGGACCTCTGTCCTAGATAAGAAGAAATAAGAAAAAAATTTACGAAAGATCACCATGCCACTAACATGTCACAAAGTTTCTAAAAAATAAGTCTTATCACCAAAAAATGCTAGCCACTGAAGAGTATCTATAGTTATAGCTGAAGCTTCAAGCAAGAAATTATCACCAAAGTAACTCTATACTTCAAGCAACTGCTCATCCAGGTACTACTTAGTCCCAAACCTACTTAAAGTCACATGAAACCAAGTTCAGTCAGGTACAGTCTTCTTTCAAGCATCTTGCCTCCACCTTTCCACTTTCACAGTCTTGTAAGCTGTCAAGGTATTCTACCTTACAGGTATTTAGTTATCTCTTTTAATATTTGTTTACCACGATAATCCTACAATTTCAGCTAACCCTCATAAAATATATCCAGTTAGAAGGTATAAGACTCTAAGAGTTCTAAAAAAGAAGAATCTTATAGCACATGTTCTGAGGGGAGAGACACAAGGTGTGTGGGAGTGTGTTTGCGTAAAACATAAAAATTGTGCATATTACAAAAGATGACCTTAACTGAGCCAAATCACTTTGCTTAAGGAAGCAATACTGTTTATGTAACCTTCTAAACCTCGGGCTTTTCTATTACAAACATTACAGCTGAATTTCCTTCCTATAGTAAAAAACAAAACACCACCAACAAAAAACCCAAAACAAAACAAAAAACAAGCCACACCATCAAAAATCACACACACCACAAACCACAGAACCAAGCAACCGTGCATGTTATTTTAAGATACCTGACTTCTGATATTAATTAGATATTTCCAGCCAGGTCCTATTCTAGACTCTGGTCTGTCCCTGACAGAAATGTACACCTAAAAGGACAATATTTTAAAGATAAATTCCGAAAGAGAAGGAACAGAAACATTTATACTTATTTTTAATTTCAAACAGAGGAAGCCACAGTATTTTATAGCAAGCACTAACCATCTGTTTCCATCTAACTTCAAACATAGATTCTGAACCAAAAAGTATCCTAGCATAAAAATAAAGCACAAAAACTGTACTGTTTCCTGAGCATATGTAGATTCATCCAAAAGGATGAATGTAAATAGAAGAAAGTACCAATTGAATTTTGTACTTGAAGATAACTGTTAAAAAAAATGCAAAAATTGAGTCAAACAGTTTTCTTCCTCCCCTCCTCAGTTCCTGTTACACTTACTGCCTTTATGGGATTACATTTAGTCAATTATTTTTTGAGTCAGTGAGGAAAGAAAAGAAGCCATCATGTGAAGTCACATACATAAAGCGGTAGAAGCCGCACAAAAAGCACAGCTCAAATACTAGAAGATGAGCAAACGTACTGAAAGAGAAATACAGAGTTGAAGAAACCAAAGGAGGGAAAGCACCGAAAACCTGCTTACTACTTAAGCAATTCAGCCTATTTCTAAATCACTGCAGATGGAGAAAATGCACAGAGACTCTCCCCTACTGAGAGCTGTACGACACTGACCAGTGGGTAAGAGAATGGATGTGGCTGGTCAGGTAACAGATCATGCTCTTACCTGCAAATCTTGCCTTGCCAGTGAGTGTTACAACTGTAGATAGTCCAAGGGCAATGTTACCTACCACTATGACATTGGAAGATACTTTATTCAGTACATGTATACTTACTGGCTCTAGGTAGGACAGTACGTAGAAGACAATCAAGTTATCCAAAAAGTAAAGAAAGGCAGGAATTGACCATTTCATGGAATTACAAAAATTCCTCCAGGAAAGACATTCAAAGGGATGATCCAAACAACCCTCTGAAAGGAAGAGAAATCAGTAAGACATCTTTCTTGTTATCAACAGCCCATTCTCTTATAACAGAATATGTACCACTGTTCTCTTTTCCAGAACACTCCTGGACAGAAAAAAACTAATGTACCACAGCCCTCTGGCAACACAGAGGACAGATCCAGGGCAGAACACACAGCTAGAGCAGCAATCCTGTGTCTACAGGCATTCGCCTCTTTCCTTCAGCAGAGAAAACACCAAGGAACCTGTTAACCCCATCGGAGTATTTGTCCACTGGGAACAAAAATTATCAACCATTCTTTGAGGGCCAAAAAGCATTCCCAAGGTCCCCACCCAACAGTGACATCATTACTGGGTACAATTTTCTGATGATTATCAATCAAATCTAGAACTGAAACAATAACATAGACAGTGGATCTGTTCATATAGAACCCAAAGGGCAGCCAGTAATGTCAGAAATACAAAACAATCCATAAGTTGGTATCTGTAGCACACAGCACATGAGCTGAATAAAAAGAGAACGTATAGGAGGAAGGAAGACAGGACGGACAAGGAACGAAGAATGACATTTACTTAGGTATTGAGGGGACACACTTTAGGAAGAAGAGTGTGATAAACACTTAGACTACTCTAGACTTGGTGACAGAAGTACTTTGTTAGCATAGATTTAAGACTACACAATGGTATTTAATCCTCTTCTGAACCACCGCTGAGTTCAGCAAAAATCAAAAATCCTTTCTGGAAGGAAAAGAACAACAATTAAAAAAAAAAAGACAGACAACCAGAAAACTTGTCATCAGCAGTAGGTCAATGATGGCAAACACTGACTGAATGCATTGACTATCTTAGGTAAGTCTATACTAAATGGTGGAGGTAAAAACTTCATCAGCTTGCCAGACTGTTACATGGACAAGTGGACAAAACCAGTCGTTCAATTTAACACGAGTCTCCAGTGCCTAACACCCTCTCCCAATTTAAATGTCTGTTCTCTACTGTTTTGAAATGCTATGAAGTTAGCCTGTCATCCTTTCTACATCAGGAGAGAAAAGCCAAGAAAGAGAAAAATAGCCTGCAACACAAAAACCTGTAGCTAGTGAAGCCTGACACTGCTTTCTCAGAACACCAGCCCCAAGATTTGTCTTTGCTACAAAGCTACATTGAATTATAACATCGATCTATTGCTTCTAACTCAAATACCAACACACACACAGACAAGACCTCTTCAGCGGAAGGTTGCAGTGCTTTTAAATAACTGGTCAGAACAACCAGAACAACACAACATAAAAGCCAATCCTTGAGTCTGCGCAATTTGTAAGCTTCTATTCAGTCATGACTTCACAGTGAGGTGATTCCTATTATCCTAGTATGATACCAAGTTAAAATTCTGAAAATGTTAGACAGTGTCTTCATTAAACTTTCTAATTCAACTTACCTGTTCCCATTTCATTTACCATACACACAACTCAAAACCACCTGAATTTGTAGCATGAAGTAGAGATGTAAAAGTAAAGCTGTTACAATTCTGCATGGAAGACACAATTCCAGTGGACCTTACTAGCAGGACCCACCCTATTACATGTGAATCTATCATTTAAAGAAAAAAAAATACAAAAAAAAAAAAGGGGGGGGGAGGGATTTGAAGTACAGTAAATCTTAGCAAGTCAACACATTTTAGTTATTTTAAACATAGAAACTTACCTTTTTTCTTAACCCATAGTGCCAACACCACACACAGGACCAGTTTTACTACTTCAGAACATATGTTCACTGTTGTAGGAAGGTAATCGTATTTGTTATCTGTGGGATTCAGCAAATCATAGAGAGTACACAATCAGATTCTGTCTCCTGCAACCATCATTAGAGCAAGAAACTATTTTAACCCCTTCAGTCAGAAGTTTAGTCCCTTTCCATATATGTAAAAGTCTATGTCAGCACTTTCACTGTAAATATTTCAATTTTTATGATACACAAGTTCCTTTCTGGGCTAAAATCTTTCCTCATTTGGTCCCGGTTCACAGCAAAACTTTTTGGAAGGCCTCAAGAACATCACTGTTTAAAAAAAAAAAAAAATGGGAATGTTTTCCCCAAAGCAGAGTATCTTTGTTTTTTTTTCCCCTCACAAAAAAATGGCTTCCAGGATGACATGACCTTCTTCTAGGACTGTATCTTTTCTTTGTTAGCATATTTAGCTAATATTTGGCAAAAGGGGAAGCAGTAATACCAGACAATTATAGCCTACTCACTATGATACCACTTTTCTCCTAAGCCTGTTGCAAGACAAATATTTGTCAAGACATGTTATGCAACAATTTAGTCTTTGAAAATCAGCTATGAAATAATTCACTGTCTCATCTTTTCAGGACAAATCTCCACACCGATCAGATACCTTGCAACCCAAGTTATCACCCTGTGTTAGATCAGTGACTGTACAGAGACTTTCCAGCAGAGAAGTACATGTCACTATTTATATAATAGAATGCTTATGCTAAGAACTCTGCAGGTGGAGACCTATGCTATCGGGTATCCATTTTACCCCAAACATCAATTCTTTCTTATTTGAGGTACAGTATGTTTATTGCCCAACAGCACCTTCATTGGCAGAATACTTCATGAGGAGGATTCGACTTGAGCCCAGTGCAATAAACACTCCTCCAAGCAGAAAGGTATAGATGGTTGTCTTGGAGCAAAATACAAATCGACTATAGCACTTGGTCTTCATTCTGGTGTCTTGCTGTTAATGCCCTTTGGATGACAAAATAAAAATACCTTGTAAATAGTACTTCCAGAAACTGGATAAGCAACGTGAAATGTGTACATTTTACTGCTTTGTGTTATTTTATACAATGATGCTTACATCACAAGCCATGATCGCATTCTACAATTGTATTTTTTTTTTTTTTATTTAAAACAATTAATACAATTAAGAGAGAAGGATATGTGATGAGGACCAGCAAAGGGGAATAAAGAATGCATACACGGCAACTCAGAAGGTAGCACAAAGAGGTCAGTTTGTCAGAAGGGCGCATCCACGGAATACCGATTAGCTAGAAGGATGAAATAAATTACATGCTTATTTAACGTTTTGGGTTTTGTTTTTTTTTTTTTAATGCTCTTATTCCCAACTCCAGCAAGGAAAACTTTTACAGCCGTCGTGCGAGAGCTCCACCTCAACAGATGACCCGGTGCTCACTAAGCGCCGGCTTGTGCCCAGGGGGCCGGAGAAGAAGACGGGTTGCTGCGGGCGGAGCCTGAGCTGCGCCCGCGGCCTCCCGCCCCAGCGCTGCCGACCCGCTAACGGGCCCACGGGTCCGAAAAACGGCTGCCGGAGGCGGGGGAGCCCCTCGGCGCCGGCTGCGGCCGCGACACCCCGTAACGGCCGCCGGGGCTCGCGCCGTGCCGCCCCCGGGGAGCCGGTGGGCGGGCGGGGTTGGGGGGGGGGGGGGGGGGGGGGGGGGGCGGCACGGAGCGCAGCTTCAAGCCGGGCCCTGCGGAGGCACGGGGTGAGCACCCACCTCGGAGCGGTGGCGGGAGCGCGGCAAGCGCCGCCGCGCGCTCCCCCGCGCTGCAGGAAGGGGCTCGCCCGGCTTTTGCCGGCCGCCGCCCGCCACGTCGCTGCCTCCGGGCGAGCCGGGCCCCGCAGGCGGCGGCAGCAGCCGGTGCTCAGGCGCCCCGAAACCGAGCAGGCCGGGCAGCCACGGAGCGCCGCGGCATCGCGTCCCACCCCCCTCACCCCCGCTGCGCGCCCCCCCAGCGCCCATCACCAGGCTCGCCGGCAGCCCGCGGTGTACCCGCGCAAAGCTCCGCTCTTCTCCTCGTCCCGTCCCGCCCCGCCCCGCCGGCCTCACCTGGCGAGGCGGGGCGGGGCCGGGCCGGGCCGGGCCGGGCCCTCCCACCCAGCAGCGCGCGCTCCCTGGCTCCCCTCCCCGCGCCACCACCCCGCGCGGGCGCGCGCGCCCCTTTTTCTTTGACAGCCGACCCCGCCCCTTCCTGTGGCGGGGTGGGGGGAAGTAGTCGTGGTGGTGGTGGTGGCGTGGCGCGCATGCGCGCGAAAAGTCAGCGGCTTCCCGCCCCGCCCCTCCCTCCGCACCTTCCCGCCTCGCGCGCGCGCGCAGGCACCGAGGAGCGGGGCTGGGCCCGCTCTCGCGCAGGCGTAGGAGCCGCGCCGCTGGGCGGGGCCTCGGCACGCGGCGTGGTTAGCGCCGCGTGTGTCGTCACGTTGCATGCGACGTGGAAGAGCTCGGGGGAAGGGGAGGGCCGGCTGCGTCACGTGACCCGGCGGGGGCGGGGCGGCCGGGGCGGCCGGCGCCGCCCGAGATCGCTGGCGGAGGGGGCGGGGGAGGCGGTTGTCCTCCGCGCGGGGCCCGCTTGGCAGCATGCAGAACGTCATCAACACGGTGAAGGGGAAGGCCCTGGAGGTGGCCGAGTACCTCACCCCCGTGCTCAAGGTGCCGGCCCGCGCGGGAGCCGGGGGGCGCGGTGAGGGGAGGCGTTGGGTAGCCGTTAATGGGGAGGACGGGCGGACAAGACAGACGCGGCTCTTACGGCGGGGCGGCCGCGGAGCCGCCGGGCTCGGGGGTGGCGACGGAGAGGCCCCGGCCTCCCGCGGCGCGGCCGCCGGCCGCTCATCACGGCCGCTGCCGGCCCGGTGGGGTGCGAGGGGTGCCTGGCCGCCCCGGTAGTCGCTCCGCCTTCCCGGAAGCCGCCCTGCGGCTGCGGCTTCGGCTTCGCTTCTTACCCGGGCCCGGGGAACTCCCCGCCGTTGCGGCGGGTTTACGCAGCCGGCGGAGGGTCTCGGAGGGCGCGGTGCTCCCTCACGCCGGAGGGGGAGGTTCTGCTTGGGGCAGCCGTGAGGCGGCGGAGCCGCCCGGCCCTCGTCCTGCACCGCGGCGTACGGGGCGGAGGGAAGCCGAGTTGGAGCTCGCACCCCTTTAGAGGCGGGAGCGTTCACCGGGGAGGTGCAGCCCTTCGAAGGCCAGGTGTTGCTGGTCCTGCTGCTCGGGGAGTAACTTATTTGTTGCTCTTTGATATTAAAGTGGCTAAACTTTAACTGACTGTGTGACCGGGAATGGAAATCCAAAGGTGCTCGTGTACTGATAGGCTTAAGCCTGGTTTCGGGAATGCGTTGCAGTGGTTATTTTGGGTAAGAGTGCAACTTCTTCAGCTGATGGAGAAAAAAAAAAAAACAAAAAACAAAAAAAAAAAAACCCCAAACACTAGCCACGTCTTCATTATGTGAGCAGGTATAAAATTATATAGCGTAGCTTATTTCTGTATCAATATTCCTATATTAATATAAGCCTCTGCGCTAAAGTAACTCTATAGTAGAAATGGGCTGTTTGGTCCTTGGCAGTGAATTATAACAGTCTGCTTGTAAAGGTGGGTGGCACATCTGTTATAATTCCTATTACTGTTTATTTAGTTAGAAGTAAATTGTGTTTTTCAGCAGTTGTTAGACTACATCGCATCTGCTGCCTCCTATTTACAAATACTTTTTTATGTAAAACCCAACTTTGTGTATGAATGCTTAACTTAGCAGCAGTTCTTTCACTACTGACTCACATTTTTCCATATTTTTGAAAAACTACTTCTACTGTAGTTGTTTATGACAGCAACCTCTCTGCCTGTGGTTTTATGGTGTGACCTTCTATATGCCTTGTACTCCGCAGCTTAGATCTTTGGGCAGAAGACAATGATAGTCAATTAGTAATTGAACTTGTCCCTCTGTAGTATACAGTGTACTCTTCCCTGGGTAGTGGACCTTTCTAGAGTTGCCCACCAATGACATATGGACTGCAGTGAAATTGTGACATGGAAAGGTGGAGTGACTTGTTTACCATACTGCCAGTTGCTGTTGCATGGCTGGTGTAATAGTAGAGGATTTCTTGTGCCCAGGTGTATTACTGGGAGGAGGCTGGAATAGAACCTACATTATAGTGATAATATTATGTGTATGTGTTTCTTTTACAAGGGATTGAAGTAAATACTCCAACCTGGTAACTTCAGAAAGAACCTAGACCTCTGTCTGTCACTAGCTTACATATTACAGAATGTACAGAGATGAAAAAGTGAACTATTTACCCTCAGGGAAGAGAGGATGGATATTTTACATATTTTCCTTATGTAATTCCAGAAACACAAGTTTGTGCATGTTGCCTACTACTTAGAGTTCATTTTGAGGTTAAATAGTAAGTTGCCTCCACTGTGGTGCTGCATAATGTGTTATTTGAGAGTTCTCAGTTTCCAAGCAATCCAAATTGCTAAATTAGGGTTGTTTGAATTTCTTTGATTTCTTTTAGCTAGCATATGGTAATGTTAATGGTGTTTGTACAACTGTTGTTTTGCTTATCTTATTCATGTTCTTAAATGCTTCTTTAGAAGTGAGGGAAAAAGGAAGTGGTCAGTACTGTATGAAGCAGGTGTGCTCGTTTCCTTTTACATAGCACAGGTGATAGCATGTGCTGGGGTGAAGCATCAAGTTAAGCAGTGGCTGATTTTCTTTAATGATTTCCTAATGATTGAATAAGGTGAAGTTGTAGCCAAAAGTGAAGTACTTTTCAGTTGCTGCTTTTAGTCTTGATAGAAAAAAATCATGAGTTTTTCAGCGCAAGAAGATATTCAGTAATTGATGATGCAAAAACTTAAAAAATGAGCTATGCCATGGTTGAAGTTGCATTCTTTTTCAAAAGCCATTTTAATATAGCTCTAATGCTGGGGAACAGTAGGTTTCCTTGGTGCTTGAGACTTATCTGAAGAAAAAAAAAAACAAAAACAAACTCCTGTTGTCAACCAAAATAATCTAGATTTGAATATGCTTAAAAAAATGTTGTATCCTTAAACTTCAGTTGTCTTTAGTGCAAAAGTGCTTTGTTCCTCCATGCAGAACTGAATCACGTTGCTGCTTGCCATCTACTCTTTCATCCATAAAAAAACATAACAACATGAGAAAATCAAAACTGTTTTCATGGGGTGCATAATGAAGGAACAGAAATTAGTATTAAAAAACAAAACAACAAAAAAACCCATTGGTGACTAAATCTTCCTGCATAACTTTTCCTGCCACAGAGGAAAGTCAGTCTGGTCATTCATTTCATGACCTTGCTTAACTGCAAAGCCTCATATTGATGCATTGCAGTGCTGTTCAGTGCCTAGAACAGTCCCAAAGTCCTGGCTGTGAGAATCACCAATTCCAGCTGGTTTTCTGTCTCTTACTGGCAAATGTAATACTGAGTACTGGCGGTCTTTACTTCATTATTGATATAGTTGGCTGTAGCAAAAAAAAAAAAAAAAAATTTTGTATGTGTGACCTTTTTTCTTAATAGCCCATATTCTGCAACAAGTGCTTTTGTTGAGTCTTACATTATAGGGTATGGAAGTAGGCTGCCTATCAGCCCTGGCAGAGGTTGCCTCCAAGCTGATTCACAGATCTCTGTGGACTGAGCTAGTTCCAAGACAAAAGTAGAGCAGATATTTGTCTTACCGGAAAAGTTGGGGTACTTTGATTTGTCAGCAGTTCTCAAAATCTCTAAACTTTCTTTACTGCAGGAGTCCAAATTTAAAGAAACTGGAGTAATTACACCTGAAGAAGTAAGTATTTGGAAACCTTGAAATATATTTTGGAAGTAACGATAAATTTTACTCAGAATAACCATGTTAATCTCACAGGTATGTCTTTGCCAACTAATTACTGCTTCTTGAAACAATTTCCACACAGTGGAAGTTCTAAATGGCCTTTTTACTCTACAGCTGTAGATCAACATAATTCCTCTTGAGATGATGCCTGACATGAATATAGGATGCTTTTTTCCTGTATTATGTTGTGAAAAGCTTGTAAGGAAGCTCATGCTGGGTCAACGGCTTCATTTGTCATGGGAGTTCAGAACTAAAACAGGAATATATTGATTTCAAAAGTCTTTCCCGTAAGCAACTCAAAGAGAATCCTGTATCTTGGGAACAGTCTATGCTTACCTCACTTTGGTTACTTCCAAGACTCTGGCTAAATCACTGCATATGCTTGTCTACACCAAGTATCCAATGATTATTATTTTTTCCCTCTTCTTCTCTGTAGGCTACTTAAGGCTGGTTCTATATTGGATTGCTGCATATCAGTTGTAGTTTTTTTAAGGAGTCCGCTGCGAAGAGAAACAAACAGGACTTTTTCTAGAATCACAAAAACACAGATTGTACAGTGCTATTTTGACTTCCCCGTTCTGCTTTTTCTCATATTAAAGTGCTACTGTTCTGAAAAGACATTGTCTTTACAGAGATATAAGAAAATAATATTAAGACTGTTAAGTAGAATGAAAGAAGAATGAGACAGAATTCAGAAATGTGAAGATGAGATGGAAAAAGATGGAACAAATGATGACTGATGCAGATAGATAGTGTGGACAGAAGTATTTTTCCTAATGTTGGTACTTAATTTTTTTTCTGCTACGTTGCATGGCAAGCAAGCACTTGTACTTTCTATGATCCAGAAGAGTACTGTTCAGAAAAACAGGCCTAACATGGTGTTCTCTTGTTCTGATAACCATACACACGTGTATCTGTGTATATAAATGTTTATATATTACATATTTTAAAACTATTATGTATGAAACAAATAGAGAAAGTCTAGACAAATGTTCTACTAATGCTTAATTCCTTCTTGATCTATGGGAGAAAACTTGGCAGTAGTACTGAAAGAAAAGGTACTTTCTATAGAATTTAGCAAGAACCACACTTAGATTAAACAGTTTGCAGT